GCTGTCGGTCCAAAATACGTTAACAATGTTCTCATAACTAAGTTCAATGTTAAGCATGGTGCTCACCTTAACTGCGACAAGGGCTGCTGATAGTTCGAAGTGAGGGATTGTGATGTGCTTGAGCGTTGCCACTCGAGATTTTCCCATGATGAAGGCGCAATGAACTTCTTTCTCTGAGTTGACAACCCGGATGTAGGAGCACTGTCCATAACCGGTAGTACTAGCGTCCGAGAAGTGATGTAATTCGACAGAGGTTACTTCCTCAAATCCAGTTGGCGCGACACACCGAGGAACTTTCAACTTGTCGAGGATAAGTAAGTCCCTTCTAAACTTCTCCCATCTTTGACGCACTTCCTCTGGAACCGGATCATCCCATTCTGCTTGGTCTCGGCAAAGGTCTTGGAGGATCTGTCTTCCAATTAACAGGAAGGGAGCGGCGAACCCAAGGGGATCGTATATGGAACTGATGGTAGACAGGATTCCGCGGCGCGTACAGGGCTTAAGCTGGAAGATTATTCGTAGCTTAAACGAATCGGACTCGATGCACTACTGTGTACCCAAGGTTCGTTCCACATGGAGGGGACCGTAATTGAAATCTAAATCTTTCAGATTAGACGCTCGATCATCGGGAGAAATAGTAGACAAAACGTCCTTTGAATTCGACACGAACTTGTGTAACCGAAGGCCGCCGCGAGAAAGCATATCCTTTGTCTTATGGATGATCGACACAGCTTCTGGAACTGACTTTAAAGACTTCAGCCCGTCGTCGACATAGAAGTCCCGTTTAATAAAGTTCGCGACGTCTTCGCCGAATTCTTGCTTGTAGTTTTCTGCAATAGCCTTTAGCCCATAATTTGCGCAGCCTGGGGACGAAGTTGCACCAAATAGGTGAACCGTCATTCTATATTCGTTTGGTTCCTTAGAGACATCTCTATTCTCCCACCATAGGAACCTTAAGTAGTTTCGATGTTCCGCACTCACGTGAACTGATGGAACATGCCTTCGACGTCGCAGGAAAACGCGATAGAGTACTGTCGAAATCTTTATAGGACACCGATTAAACTGTTTGTTCGGTCGGGGCCTTGTAACAGGTGTTGATTAAGTGACTCGCCATGATAACTTGCGCTACAGTCAAACACGACACGAAGTTTATCGGCTTCTGAGGGTGGTAGACCCCATGATGCGGAATGTACCATATTTTGCTTCCAACGTCCGATTCCACTTCGGGAACGGGTTCGGCATAACCTCTTTGGAGTAGATTATTCATGAAGGATTTGTAGTGTTGGTGATAGCGTTGATCTTTCTGCAGTCGTGTCTTCAGCCCTTGTAGCCGACGCAATGCTAGCAGTTTGTTGCTTGGTAGCTCTGGCGATCCGTTCCGGAATGGGAGTGGCATCTCATAGTGGCCGTTAGGTGTCTTGTGAATTACAATTTTTAATTGTTCTAGGAAATTCATGTCATCCAAGGAGATTGGGTTGTGGTCTACGCTTCTTTCGGAGAAATCCCACTCCATCATGCGTCTGATTTCTTGTGGACTAATAACTTCTTTGGCCGACGTCGTCACGCGAAAGGTGCATGCTCTTTCATGGGTTTGAGCAGCACAGATTGACTGAGTAGCGATTCTGTGCACGACATCTTCGATTTCATCCGAATCGTCCTCGTCGTTGGTTATGTTTCCGACTATTCCCCATCCTAACTCTGTCTGCTGAGCATAGGGTTCGTTTCGGGTGTACTTCATATAGATCATTTTTTGCTCTTTCTGTATTCGATGTTGTTGCAAAGAATATATGCAAATAAGTTTTAATGTAAGTTTATTATATTGATTATTTTATACTTGTTACTGACAGTATATCAAAGTTGGTTGTATATCAAAAAATCTTGGCCTGATAAATCATGAAGCCTTGAATCTAAACTGAATAAAACTTGTTTTTATAGACAAGTGCATGCGGCTGTATATCGATATGACGTATACATACATACATACATACATACATACATACATACATACATACACACTTTATTTAGCGACGCTAGCCCCGACAACTACAAAAGTTGATTTCCATGGGGGGCGTCGATATAAAAAAATATTACAAAGAATATAAACAGGAAGGAAACTAAGGCAACTACAATATGTACATTATCAAAAGCTACGGTATAAACAACGATGGTGTGTCTCAGAATAAATATATGATTAAGTGAATCCAGACTCGGTTATTAACATCAAAAATTTTGTTTTATACATCTTTTAAATATATAAATAGATTTTAAATATATACATCTTTGATTGGTTAAGTTATGGATTTTCAATTTCATATTGGACTTTGTTTCGTCTCCCTTGCAGTTAATGTTTGTTGTTCTTGGGAACGAACGAAACAATGAGCGCATGCGAAGAAGACAAGACCTTATGATATTATCATGTTGTCCCGGCGTATATGCACTTGTCTATATATATAATAACCTCAGAACAGCTGGTCGGGATAGAGTTTTCATATCATGCATGCGCTATGCTTTCTTTTCACCTTCCTGGGAATTTTAGAATTTTCCCATGGAAAAGTTCCGGACCATTTAAGGATACCCTACTTCGTACCTTTCAAAATCGTCAAGAGAAATTCATATAATATTTCGTTTTACGTTTACTTGCAATTGTCTGTAAAAGGTAATAGTTCTGATAATTCAATGCTCATTCAATAGTATATCTTCTGTTTTAGTGAAAGAACAGAAGAGAACAAATATCAAAGTTTAATTGATGTAAGTTCTCCGTCGGCGTCCAAAAATGATTCTAACTTCAACGTGGTAACCATAGAGGAAGTAATTGAACCAGTTAGCGAAGGAAATGCAGGAAGTTCTGAGACGACGGATCGAAATTGTGAGATGGAAGTCTCTGTTGGCATGGGTAGACCAGGTTATGTTGAAAGACTTCGTGAATCTTTCCTGCGAAAGAGTTATAATTAAATTTAGATAACCACAAATTAATGAAAATGACGAATTATTAAGCCACGGTGGTACTGTATGTAATTTGCTGTACATTGATCAACTGCTGACGGGTCCCAATTATGATGAATTCAGTCTTATTCGCAATATTCATTACAAGCTTGTCATGAATTATATATCCAACATCTTATTTTCTGAATACAGGCCTCCATCGCACACATAGCTTCTTCCTGAGTTGAACCAGTGCACTTGTGTGTCGTCAGCATGCATAGCCAACAATTTCGAGACATATATATGATAATTACATGTAATATGATGTCCCTATTTATATACAAGTCTACAACTAATTAATTAAAAATACAATTAAATACATTATATACAAATTGTTCTCCCAATATACAGCCGTTCATAATGATTTTGAATCTACAGGGTGTCCTAAAAAAACCGAAAACTACTGAAATCACCGATAACAATTTAATTGTTAGAATTTGAATGCCTTAGCACTCTGTTGGTTCCAGGGGCGGATCTAGGAATTTTCATACGTTAGTAAAAAAATTCGTTGCTGAACATTGGGGAGGGGGTACTTTTGACAGGGGGAGGGGAATACTTTTGACGGGGAGCTGGGGGGAGTTGCCAAGCAAATTAATATTTTTTATATGTGTTCTGTTTACGAAAAAATGTGACTTAAAAAATTGCTTTTTCGCTCAATGTCAAATTTTCATCGAGAAATAGATTGAGAAGGATGACTTGACGTTTTAAAAATTATTGTTTAATCGCATATTTTCTCCTTTGACATGGATGGTCAAAAAATCTTGCAATATAGTGATGCAGTTTAAAACATTTGATTGATTGTTAAGCAGGAAGAGAACTTCCATGTTTAATTCACTGCTCCTCGAGTTCCATTCGTAGCAGAAACATGCGCCATTGAATAAGCATTCGTAATGGTAACATGATCCATTTTACTTGTTGTATACATGTTGTAGAGATCGTGTTACACAAGGCCATGCTGCATTGGGGTTCTTGTATTCATTTATTTATTTATCAGCTTTATTGGACAAATATAGTAGAAACATTTGCAAGTTTAAGTCCAAAGGGGATAGCGCAAACGGGACAACGAGACCCATGCTAGGCGCACCCCCTCCAAAAAAAGAAGAAAAAAAAACCCAACCTAATTCACTATATATATACAAATATATATTACATAACATGCATATTAAGAACGGTGGCAGGGGCAGTCTCTTGTGAGCGACCAAGTGCATGCCATATCAACATTAAAAGTACTGTTGACCAATGCGGTGTATGTCACATGCAGAAAGCTTTTAAAAGTTGTTAAACTGGCGAACTTTTCAGGAGAGGCTATTTTTCCAACATTATTCCAAGTTTTAACTATTCGGTTAAAGAACGATCCTTGGAAAGTGGATGTTCTACAGTAAGGAGATTTTAACATTAGAGATGGATTCTGAGTACGAGTTCGATTATGATGTATAAATGACACAAAATGTTCAATGTTCAAATCAGTGTGGCCGAAAATACATTTATAGACCAGAACAAGATCTCTGATTTCTCGATCGTAAGTTAGTGGCAGTAAATTGAGAGTTCTTCGTCTATCTTCATAAGACATTTCTCCAACTTTACTTTTGAGGATCCAACGTGTAGCGCGCCTTTGAACTCTTTCTAATAGTAGTAATAGTTTATTAAAAAAAAACCTTGCAGTAGAAACTGAATTACAGGTCATTACAAAAATCTTATTTACAAATATTATTTACAGTATATAAAATTTATACAAAATTATCTGAGAGGTGTACATAATTTATTATAGTTAAAAATGAATGTATAACTAGACAAAAGAGGCTAGTTATTGGGTTCAACGATCACAGTTCAGGTCGCATACTTAATGGTAACGAATTTCTGAAACCGGTCTGTTCG